AGAAAAAGGAAGCAGGGTGTAGCAGAAAAGCATCACATAGCCCAACTGTAACTTGAGGCAGATAATTTTTTCTGTGCCTATACTTTCTCATCTATAAAAGGAGTGTAATACTACAAATGACATTTTACAAAGATTACAGATAGTATTCATAAAAGCTTCTAACATACAGTAGAAGTTCAACAAATGACAGTAGGAATTATTAACCTAATTTCTGTACTCTCGAGTTCTCAGTGTCAGAGGATCTATTTAGAAACCTATCTTCACATTACTCTGATAAATCATCCATGTCCACTGTCCAGAAATACTAAGTAAACATGTACTCATGCTAACACTGCGTAGAGTTATACAGAGGTGAGTCAAAGGTAATTTTAAGTGAAAATGACTCTGAAATTATACTCTCACTATGACTACAACTATTCAGATTACACAGACATAGAAAAAAGGGTCTCACACAAGGGAACACAGAAAATAAAATACTGTGTATGTGAAGGTTTTTTTTTTTTTTAAACTGCTATTAAAAAGATGGGAAATACAATAAAAATAAGGGAATAATGAAACCTTTGAAAATAGAAAAACAAAATTCAGACCCTTTCATCAGTGGTCTCACCCTACCCGGTGCACTGTTCTGCTCTACGCGCCTTAGCTGCCGTCACCCTGTACCTGAGGCGTCTGCTCAAAGGGAATTGGAATTTTAAGCCTATAGGGGCAACACTGCCCCAGGTACTCTCCACACAGGTGGGCCAAATCACGGACGGCAAGGCCACACGCACGTCCTGTCAAGCAGCGCGGCCCACTGGACCGACCAAAGGTGCCAGGCCAGGGATACCAGCACCCAGCCGATGACTGTCTCACCAGCTCCTGCAGGAGGAAGGGCAGGAGTCCTGCAGGCACAGCTGGATGTGCCACCTGCAACGCTGGGGCACAGTCCATCCCCAGAATAAGCTGAGGCCGCTCCCTCTGCCAGCTTCTTGGACCAGCCCTTTAAACACTGCTTCCTCACGGAGTCAAGCCAAAATTCTCCTTTACAGGCACTGGCTCCTTCATGCACACACCTCTATAAAGCCTTGCCTTGGTTCACCTGAAACATCTTTGTCCTGGAGGGGTCCAGACCCACACAATTTGGGAGATCTGTAACGTAGATCTTCCTTATATGCCTGTATTTATCATATCTCCTGGATGCAGTACTCTATTCACATCCTTCCTGCCAATGCTTCTTTTTCATTCTTTTAAGAAATCTTTTCTAAGTGACCTTTCCCTTAATCTTCATACCTTTTCCCACAACTAAGGTCAAATCTGAAAAGTATCTTAATTACAAATTACTCCATGTTGTACCTTAGGAGAGTAAGTTAGGACCTTGTGAATTATAAAACAAAGGAATATTTATTTATTGGAATGAAATATTCCTTCTTACAGTTCATTTTACTGAACTAAAAATAAACTTACAAAGATTTTCATAAACTCAATCAACATCCTGGTGTTTCTCATTCTAACCTTGTTCCATAATGACTGATTTCCTCAGTCTCATAATGGTAGTTCTCTGTTATGCAGCCTTTAACCTAAGGAGGAAATAACATGTTGACATGCACCAACAGTCTGTGTCTTTAAGCTTCAGTGGCAAGTGAGCCATTCATGGATGGGTGAAGGTGACTGGGAATCAGCACACACATTCAAACATTGAGTTTGAAACTTGTGATATCACCTTAAGATAAACTGCTTGACATAGGACTTCAATCCCTTTTAACAGTAACATAAAATTAAAAGTTCCTATTTCAGGGGATAGAAATTTGGGTAAATAAATCAGATAGTTATGATTCAACATATTTAATAAACTGTGAAGTAAACTTAACATATTTTAGCTATTTTCACAGATAGTCCTTAAAAGGGCTACCTCTTTAAATCAAAGAGCATTATAGAAGAAAGTACTAGCAAAAAAAAGAGATACCAGTGTCCTAAACATGAAAAACTGAAGAACAATTTAAAATTGTAAAGTCTTAAAAATACATACACACACACACACACACACACACAATTGACTGCACTGGTCCATTCTTATATTTCAATGCTTTGTAGACATGTTTGAAAGTGCTTTGGTTCATGAAATGATTACTAAATTTTTATCATCTCTATGTGGCCTTTAAAAATTTCAGGATTGCTAAAAGCCCTTGGTAAAGCTAATAGTAGCCATATGTAAGCATAAAAAGTTCAAATAAAAAGAAGTCACTTTTTGAGGGTCAATGAGGAATCCTGTAGGGAAAATTTCAAAATCTTAAGCACAAACTTAAACTGACTTTTGTGATATATAATCTCAAATTTCTGGATGGTCATATTCTCTTACCCATTTTTTCATTTTAGTAAGGAAATAAAATAGAATTTTTAAGAAAAAAATAAATGTATTTTTAAAAAGATTTATTTATGTATGCATACAGAACTAGGGTACAGGCCAGAGGTGCAGGGGTGGTGAGAGGATTCACCGGAGACAGAGTGGGGAGCAGAACACGCAGATTGATCAAGTACACTGCTGAGGGGAGCAGCTGACGAGACAGGAGAGGTCTGCCGCGCCATGTGGGTCACCTCTGGGGCCGTGGATCGAACTCACACTGAAGTGGTTATGGCCAGCGTGCAGTGCTGCGTCCTAACCCACTGCACCACTAGGGAGGGTCATAAAATATATTTTTAATGTAAAAGCAAGCTGAATATTATCATTAGTGCTTTTCACCCACACATTATATAAGTCACCCAAAGCAGTTTATACACTTCAGCTTCCTGTTATACTCTATCTTGCTCCTTAATAGCCTTAAACTCAAGTCAACTAATGTCAGGCAAGTCTTATTAGTTAAGAAAACTTGGACCTAGAGATGACTATAACTGAGTCACCAATGAGAACAAATTTTGGGAAGCTTCTAGATTTGACCTTCCCACAGATATATGTCAGCTTTCACTTGGTCTTAAAGTGTAAGCAGTTACTAATATAATTCCCCTAGTATCCTAATAACATGATATTAGTGTTGTAAATTTTTTAGACAGCAATTCTTTTCTACTATAACCAGCCAAATACATACACAAAAATATGGTTTCCTAAGTGACTCCAAGCTCTGATTTGGTGCCAAATGAAGTTAGCTCAACTGTCAATTAAGTCTTGAAGTATAGCTACAAAGGGTGTTGAAATAAGGTAGCTTAAAAATCCAATCAGCCAGAAAAAAGGGCTTAGACCAGCAGGATAGAGTAGGTAATCTCTTCCTTCAAGTTAAATTGACCTGGTTGCTACCCTTGCTAATAATCCTAAAACAGTTCCTAGGCAGGGAAACCTTTTCACTTGTCATTTACTGAAGGAGGATCCCCTTGGCTGGCTTCCAAGTTGACAAGAATTCAGAAATTTCTCTCCTAGAGCTGGATTTCCGGGTTCAGGCTGGTTCTGAATGGAATCAGATCCTACCTCAAGTAATCAGTAAGCTAAACAATCAAGGAGATTGTTAACCTACTCTCAGCCCTTCATTCTTTTCCAAATAAGCCAACAATATGTGATAATAATCTAGGACTAAGGTCACGATGGTCCCTCCCAGGGGTTTGGGAAGAGAAGAAATCAGTCACCTAGAAAAATTTTCAGATGTTACAGCTTAATATAAAATAAGTTTAGGGTGGGAAAGTGATATTAACCAATACACAGGAAGGTAAATGTGAGTATTAAGTTTTGAGACAGTAGGTTATCTGGCTGGAGCAAAAGTGTATTTGAGAAAAACAGAAGATATGATACTCTGTTCTAGTTATAAAACTTGAACCAGAATGCTCAGAATTCAGGATAAAGCATGGGTCAACTAGCAGATTTTAGTTCTGATGACTTAATGACCCTATACTATATACCAGACTTTACAAATGATGAGCAGGTCAGCAATTTTTTAGAGGCTGTATCTTTGTTAATTCACTTTTTCTAAATTTAATTCCACAGAACAGGAGAGGCTACCCATATGCCTTCTATCTCTTATCTATTGAGGCAGGAAGTGACCAAAGTGTTTGTGAACAGAGACATGGTAGAATGACCTAAGAAAAATCCCCAGACAGGTAAAAAAGGGAAGGATGGCTGGGAGGAAGAGTAATGCCATGACAACAAATCTCTATTTAAGACACTTTCTTCCTCTCCTACAGCACAGCCAGGCAAGTCAGTCCTGCAAATAAGCAGAGCAGAGAGGCCTAAATCCCAAACAGCAATCTGGCAGCTTGTCTCCCCATCATTTTACTTAATGTGGTCCTTATGGCTTTTTCATTTTCAAAAAAAAAATCCCCTATAAAAATGCAAATAGCCCCTCAAGAAATTATGACTTAAAATATCAGCTGACATCTTAATATCTAAGTTACAATAGCTCCAGTAGTCTAGAAGATAGTAAAATACATTTCTGCCTCCCCAAGATTCTATAATAAAATATATTTGCCAAGTAGCATAGTTCCCTCTTGTAAGTCAACAATACACATAAGCACTGAACAGGCAGAGAAGTCCATGATTCAACTTTTTAAAAACATCAAACCTCTTTAACTTTACCAAACCCTATTCCCCCTACTATAGTGCACAGTTGTTTAGAACAGTTTGGTTTTTTTGCTTCCAAGTGATTAATAACAGGGGACAGAAGAGGATGGGGAGCATTCAGAAGGTAAAAGAAAGGTAGGAAAGCAAAGACAGATCTTTCCGGCTTTATAATTTTGTTTTAAAATAACTGGTTATGTGCTTTTTTACAGATTACTTTAAGATAGACCTTAAAGTAAGGATACATGATCTATTCTATAAATATTTATCCCTTTCCAATAGTAACCTCAGGACCATTTCAAAAGCACTATGATTTCTCTGAGCCACTTATTCCAACACGATGACCAAAATTAATAAAATGAAGCAGAAAGATAAATTTACTATTGGATTTTTAAGTCTCTTTCCCTCATGTTGAGTGAGAACTTGGTGAATGGCCTTGGTTAGTGGCCATTTTTGGGCTAATACTATCAAATGCAATCTAACTTACCAGCTCTGCAGTTCAGCAAAGGCTAGTTTCATTTTCTTAATGGAAGCATCCATCTCTTCTTTAACTACAACTCGATACCGTGCAAGGGACACCGTGCAGCGCTGGAGGTCTTTCACAGATTTTTCAATATTGGAGCCTTGGGGAAAAAAAATCAAGGGTTAATTAAAAAAACAGAAAAGGAGCATAGGTATCTTGAAAATTGGTGCTGAACACCTAAACATGTAAAATAACAAATGTGTAGATTAAGAATGTTTCCTACATTCCTACATCTGCCTTGACAAAAAACTAAGTTTTCATAAAATCTTTGGGGTGGTTGCATTATGATTTAATTTAACTGCACAAAAATTTGAAATTACAAGTCCTTTAGTCTCCTAAAAGGAAGGTCATAAATGTCTCCATGTTCAAGTCTACATTGTTACATTTGAATCAATAACTTTTTTCCATCATGATGGATCAATTTAAAATGTGCATGTAACACCTCAACATAGGTAAGTATCCTAGCCAAGATACAGTTATAGAAACTGGATTTACCCTTTAGTCTTAAACAACTAAGCATACACAGACAAAATAAATTAAGTGGCTTTCAGACAATGGTCAACAGGCATTTTCCCCTGAGAAAACAGAAACGAAAATAATTGCCCCAACTTACTGTCTCAAAAGTTTTCAGGCTGTGGTGTAAGGAAAGTATGTTAAATGAGCCTGAGGTTCTCTCTGAATTGAGGGGACAGAGCTGAGATTCCAGGGGTGGGGACAGGGACAAGGTATCCAGAATTCTCGGGCAGAGTACTGTAGAAAAGGGAGCAGCACACAGATGAGAGAGAGGTACAGAGAGCTAAGGACTCTCAGTGTACTGGTGTTAACAAATTACCTGAAAGAGGGAGAAAAAAAAAACCACTGGAAAGGAACAGGGGGAACAATGCCCAGAGCTCATCCAGGCCAACAACAGCTCATGTTCACATGATCAGAGGGCGCCCGGTAGAGCCCTTGCAATGACACTGCCTCAGTAATTAATTATTCTAAACTAAATGATGCTCGAGTTTTACCTAAAAAGCTCAAAAGCAAGCTTCAAATTGTTTCCAAATCCCAGAATACGTCACAAGAATATGTGAAGATATACAAACATACTTAATAATCAACGAAGCAAAATCCATAGTCTTGAACCCAACAAAAAACCACTGGCATGCAAGAGGCAGAAAAATATGACTCATAATAAAGTAAAATCAATGAACAGAAACTGATATAGAAAGGGCACAGATATAGAATCATGTAGATTTGGACATCAAAAAAACAAATATAGTCAGATACTATGTTTGAGAATGTAGAGAAAGTATAAGCACGTCAAGGATAGACACAGAAAATATTTTAAAAGCTCCCAAATAACTCTAGAGATGAAAAAACAATGTCAGCTATGACAAATATGTTGGATGGGGTTACTGGCAGATTTTAAACAGTTAAAAAAATTAAATTTTGGAAGAGGAGAGATAAAATGAGGAGAAGAGCACAACACACTGGCAGAGGACTATGGGTGCTCTGATGGTGGGACAGCTACAGTGGCCACACATGTGAAGAAAAATATTGTCAAAACATCAACAAGCATATAAAATAATTTTATTAATAACAAATAAGTTTAAGAAAGCTGTTTTATAAACCACACAAGATGGGGGGAAAAAAGGACAAAAAAACTCCCAACCTATTAGGTATCACATTTTCAAAACTCACTAAGTGACAGGATTTAGCAGAATTTAATTTACCATGTATTGATTACAAAATTGATAAGAAAAAAATTGATAAGGATTTCTCTCTGTAGTAGAATTTAAGGTTGCAGTATTACATGTGAGTATTTTAATTTTGACAGAGATTAAATATATTCACTTACTCTGATACTTCAACTATTTTCAAAGACTTCTATCAATCTTTCTAAATCATTCAGTCAAAATTATATGTACAATTAATAGCTGGGGTAACAAAGTGAAAAAGTTTATAAATGTATTAACATAAATTTTTTATTTATTTCAATTTTTTACTTATTTGTCCTCATCTCAACTTGACTTTTCTTAAAATATACCTCAACGCTTTCAGCCCTTGTAAGTTTTTGTTTAATAGTGTCAGATTTATTTCTGTACTAAGCTGAGGGTTACATTAGAAAGGTGAAGAGAGCTTCATTAATTAAATTCAGCTCATATGGAATAAATAAATTAAAACTGTTCTTCTGTAACCTTATCTATGGGAAAAAAAGGGATAATTTGGTCTTTAGTTAAAAAAAAAAGTTTTTTAATTTCTCTCAAAAATAGGCCTCCGATTTCCCTTTTTTTTTTTTTAATGCATACAGAACTGAGATACAGGCCAGAGGTACAGGGGTGGTAAAAGGATTCACCAGAGACAGAGTTGAGAGTAGAATAGGCAGACTGACAAGTACACTGCTGAGGATCCGATCAGAAGAGGCCATGCGGTCACCACCAGGTGGGGGATCAAACTCACACTGAAGTGGCTGAGGGTTGCTTGCTGTACTTTAACCCATTGCACCACCAGGAAGGGCCCCTAGTTTTATTTTTTTTTAATGATTTATTTATGCATACAGAACTGGGGTACAGGCCAGTGGTGCAGGGGTAGTAAGAGGATTCACCAGGGACAGAGTGGGGAGCAGAACAGGCAGAATGACAAAATACACTGCTGAGGGGAACAGCAGGAGGGTCAGGGGTTAGCTCTGCCATGTGGGTTAGCTCCCTGGATGGGGATCTAACTCGTGCTGAAGCAGCTACCTATAGCTTTGGAGTGCTGTGCTTTAACCCACTGCGCCACCAGGGAGGGCCCTGAGTTACCTAGTTTTTTATTGGTAGAGGAAAGTGGAACATCTTCCATGCCCAGGTTTGAAAACTGAGATCCTGTGGTAGGTCTTGAGAAAGATTTGCCAGTATTCCTATTTTGTTGAGAATTCTGAGTAGAATGCAAAGACTTGGACTCATAATCAGAGACACCATTTTCCAACATGGACCCTGTTCAATAAAAAACAACAGTATTTTAGAGCATAATTTAGAAGTAAATTAATCACACAGTATACATATATATAAAAGGTAAGACTTCTTTTTTAGGCAAAATAATGCCTCCTAAAAGGTGTGAACAAAAGCAACTGACAAACAGACCAAAAAGCAGAACCCTGGATGAATCTATCAGTAGTGTCTGATTTAACACTGGCATCTTAATGAAGAATTCTGTGTTAACTCCTCTCTAGATAGATTAGTTCATTCGCTGTACTTTGGTAGTTTCCTGGTAGCTCTAGGAACATGAATGTGAAGACAGTCAAAATCATCAGCTTCTGATAACTTCTGTACAATATGTTGTGTAAAAAAGAGTTTTTCTATTATACCAGGAAAAGTTTTTAAAACTTTAGGGCATACAAAGGGTCAAGAACTAGGAAATGAAATGAAAGTTAGCTTCAGAAAAAAATGGAAATGACTATCATTGATTTATTTGAGGACAGTGCAGGGGCTGTATTGTTTTATAAGTCTCTATGTGTATGCAAAAATAATCAATGAAAGAAGATCCAAAATATATAACATAGTTCATGTACCATAAGCATTATGTTTATAAAGCCAGTTGAAACAGATCAAGGGGAACTAGATTAACAATCAAGCAATTTAAAGGGAGATAGTCCCAATATCTTCCCAGTTTCTCTACAAAGCAGTAAAACAAAAAGTAAAAGATATTTGAGTTTATAACTAACATTGATCTTAACTCAACAGAAAATAAATGTGGGACTATAAAAATTACGTCTACTCCTAATCAAACCATGACATAGTTATTATTTCGTATTCCTTGTTGAGTTGAAACTTAGACTACTGACTCAGTGACATTTTCCTTAAGAATGCAATTAAAACGTCTTAAGACCACCCACCCACTCTAGTCTCTAAGCACTAAAGTCTACTACTGCGTTAGAAGACTGATCTAAACAACAAAAATATACGACAATGAAAGATTTATATTTCCAGGCCTTTACAATTACATAATGTGACTCACATACGAGATAACCAAAACTAAAAAATAAAAGACTAACGAGACTAAATTTATTGATTGACCTCTCATTCATGAAGTCCCTATATTTTTCAACTGAAAGCAAGTTCTCAAAGACCTGTTAATAAACTCACCTGTTCTATCCAGCATATCTGGCGCGGCAGAGTCTGGGTCCTCCAGCTCTCTGGCATCTATTGAAAGGGTCTCCATACCTTCACTGAATGAATCCATGGACTCTGTGTCATTGATGGCACCATTGACATGGTGACCATTAACATCACCTTTGTCTGAAGAAGGTGCAGACTGCTCTTCTTGAATGGAAACCGATTTACTGGAATCTGGAATACTGTTACTTGCTTCTGCTGTAGGTTTTGGTTTGCTTTTCTTCTTTTTATTCTAATGGTTATTAAAGATTTAAAAGAAGAGAAAAAGAAGATACCCCAAAACCAAAAGGCAACCAATGTTATTAATTTCTCATACACTCTTCCAGAAGTTGAATACATTTTTTAATAGCTTTGAATTACTGAACTAATTATACATTAAATGCTATGGATAAATTCAAACACACAAATATAAATATTTATCCATAGCAAAATCTACCACAAGCAAAATCAAAAGTTAAATTACTAAATGCAAAAAAAAAATATGTAACATATATAACAAGCTAAATACAGAGTTCTAACAAAAATACAGGCTGGCCCAATAGAAAAGATGTACAGGATATTAACATATCAAGTGCTACCTTAGTCTTATATGAGACATAAATTAAATTGTACTACACAGGATTCTGGGGCAACAAATATGAGTCAGGAATCTGTCTCTCGACCTAGATGAGGAGTGCAACAGCAGAATCTGTCTAGAGTAACTATTCTGGAAGTCTAGAATCTACTGAAGATCTGCAGTTCCCATACTTAAATAGTAAAATGTGGTTAATTTTGATCAATTTCATGTCTTAGCCCAGTATAGCCTCTCACCACTTATACTCACTGGCCCCTAGTGTGGGACAGGCAGCTGCTATGCACAGCTTATGCATGCCAGAGTAGGTAAAAAGAATCCTCTGCTACAAATACCAGGATCTATGGTATGATTGCTGACTGTTGCTTTTGATCACAAAGGTACAGAGACAGGTAGCCATTGATATAAGCCCTTCAGGAGGAATTAAAGGGTAATCCCCTCCCACACTTCACTTTTCTCTTTTTTTTTCTGTTTGGGAACCAAATATTAAAGCCTAGTATATTCAAATACAAGTCCTTACACAGGGAAAATCTGAAAGAAACCACATGTACCCAGGTAAGACTCAAAAGATCTGAGGTCTTAAGTTTACACCTCAGATGTGCCCAAAATAATCCAAAAACAAAAGGGGGAAAAAGCATTAATAATAATTAAAAAAAAAAAAAAACCTCCAGCAAACCTCAAGAAAGGGGGAGAATCCGATTTCCAGAATTACCACTATCCAGTTAAAAAAAAAAAAAAAAACACCAAAAAACTGAAGGCAAACAAAGGAACAGTTAATTCAAAACAATAAAAAAATTAATCGATAGGAATTGTTCTTTGAAAAAGACCTGATTATTTAAAATTTTTAAATAATCATTGTAGTCAAAGAGTTAAAGGAAGACAAGGATGAAGAAAATGAAATAAGAACAAATGGACATATCAATATAAAGAAAAAAACTAGAAAGAATAAAACAGGAAATTTTAATTTCCTACTGGCACAGGAAAGTTCAATAACAGAGAAAAATTCATGAGGGGGCCTCCCTGATGGCACAGCACTATGAAGCTATCCATAGCCATAGCACGAGTTCAATCCCTGGCAAGGAAGGTGACCCACATGGTGCAGCAGACCTTTCCTGCCTTGCCTACTGCTCCCCTCAGCAGTGTATTTCAGTCAATCTGCCTGTTTTGCCCCCCACTCTGTCTCTGATGAATCCTATCCTCTCACCCCCTGTACCTCTAGCCTGTACCCCAGGTCTTGTGTGCATAAATAAATAAATCTTTAAAAAAAAAAAAGAAAAATTCATGAGGGATTCAATGGCAGATTGATCAAACAGAAAAAAGAATAAGTGAACTTGAAGACAGAACAATGGAAATTACTGAAATTCAGGAACAGAAAGAAAAGGTCTGAAAAAAATGAACAAAACCTTTATGTTTGCCTTTGGCAACATAAAATGAACCAATACACACATTGCAGAAGTCCAAGGAGAAGTGAGACAGGCATAGAAGAGTATTTCAAAGACTATTCGAAAAAAATAATAGTTTGAAGACATGAAAATATTCAATAAGCTGAATATGCTCCAACTAAGATATTTACACTGAGACACATTATAATCAAACTTTCTAAAGACAAACAGAATCCTGAATGCAGCAAGAAAGAAGTAACTTATCATAAACAAGATGTTTTTTGTATGTGGCCAGAAGCAGTAGGCAGACGTATTCAAAATGATAAAACAAACAAAAAACTGGCAACCAAGAATCCTGTTTTGGGCAAGGAGGGAAGTGTAGGAAGAAACTTAGATTCCCAGAAAGGCACAGACTGAGGAAAGCCATAACTACTAGACCTTCCCTTAAAGATTGTTGAGGGAGAGTTGTCCGCCATGAAATAAAATAACACCAGACATTAAGCTGAAGTTTTATGGAGAACTGCTTTCCAAATAATTTAAGACAAATGCATTTAAAAGAATTTATAAATGTATAAAGATACAATACTGTGATATCAACAAGCAAAATCGTTGGGTTGGGTTCTATGGAAGTTAAGAGTATAAATTGAAATCAGAGTATTAAGAACTTTCGAATACTAATGTAATCCCCACAGAGACAACCATATTTACAAGGTAAAATAGATTTTCAACTAAAATAGGTAAAAAGAAACAGGCACGGACTGTATGTAATGATTTAGGGAACAAAACATCAAAAACATAACACTCATTAATATATATACTCATCAATCAAAGGAGCATCAAAATATATGAGACAATTATCAAATCTGGAAACAGACAGTGATTGGAAGCTGGGAATTCAGCATTCCATTTTCACCAATAAACACATCAACCGGACAGAAAATAAGGACACAATAGCCTTAAAAAAGATTTAGACCACATGGGCTTAACAGACATACCCCCAAAAAGCCAAAAACACGTTCTTCTGAAGTACACATGAGATATTCTCCAGGTATAACCACATAATGAGCCACAAAATAAGTACCAATAAATTCATGAAGACTGAAATCATATCGAACATTTCCTTTGACCACAAATTAGAAACCACCACAAAATAAAAACAATAAAAACTACTAGTATTTGGAGACTGAACAAAACACTACTGAATGACTATTGTATCACTGAGGAAATAAAAGGCAAAATCAAAAATATCTTAAGACAACAGGTAATGAGAACACAAACTGCCAGAATTTATGTGTGGGTTCCTATGATCTGGACACTCACGGGCAAGTGTGACCTATTTGCTATCTACAAATCACAGCAGAATATGCCTTGGCCACCTATGGAGTAGAGCTCATACAGCAAGACACACAGGCTCAGGAAGCCTAGGTCGCCGTTGACCTGATTACATGACTATTTCCATGCTGTGATAACATCATACTTTGCTAACTCAAAGGTCTCTTGATAAGTGATCATGATGTCCCCTCCCCTTTCCCTTGCAAAACTTTGTCCCTCATGCCTATTCCTCATATCACTGTCCTAAGATCAGCTTTTACTATCCTGTCTGATTACAATAAATGGTAAAAGAACTTCTGCCCAAGCAGCAAAGTCTTGTCTTACAAGCCTGCTCTACAACTCTCTCATTGAGTTCCTGCTGCAAAGCAGCAACAAAGATATGGGACACAGCAAATGCAGTATTAAGAGGCATATATAGTGGCTGAACAAAGAAATAAGAAAGTCCAAATAAGTAACCTTATTTGCCACCTTAATGAACTACAAAAAGATGAGCAAAAAACAAAAATCCAGTAGAAGGGAAGAAGTAATACAAATTACAGGAGTAATAAATGAAGTAGAAATTTATAAAGAGAGTCCAAAAGAGTAATGAACCCAAAAAATAGACAAGCCTCTAGTTAGATTTACAAAGAAAACTCAAAAAGAATAAAAAACAAAAGAGAAATTACAACATTCAGGCATACAGAGGATCACAAGAGATTGCTAAAAGCATCTGCATGCTAGTAAACTGAGTAACTTAGAACAGACAAATTCTGAGAAATAGACAACCATCCAAGACTAAAACAGGAATAGAAAATCTGAACAAACTAATTAAATGCAAGAAAACTGAAGGAAGAAAAAAAGTCTTCCCAAAAACAATGGTCTAGGATCCAATGATTACACTATTATACTAGCAAGTTCTACCAAATCATGAAAGATGAGCTAATACTGTTCCTTTTCAAACTTTCTAAAAAATTAAGAGCTTCCAAACATTTTTTAAGGCTAACATCACCACAATTCTGAAACCGGACAAAGACACCAGAAAATAAAGAAAACTACAGACCAAGTTCTCTAATGCATATCTTCAGCAAAATCTCAGCAAGCCAAATTCAGCAATGCATTTCAGGGCCCAGGATGGTTCAATATCAGAAAATCAATTAGGCGATGCAATGTTTCAATAAAAGGAAAGACAAAAATTATATAAGCATATCAATTGATGGTGAGATAGCATTTGATGGGACTGAAACCAATTAATGACAAAAGAAAAATCTTCAAAAAAACTGAAGACGATGGACAAATCTCAACAAAATTAAAATTACAGATGATACAGAAAATATTCTTATTGATGAAAAATTGAAAGTTTTTCCTTTAAGATCTGATATAAGGATTACCATTTTCACCACTACTATTCAACAGGGGATTAGAATTACTAGCTAGAGCAATTAGACAAGAGAAGGATATAAAACTAATCCAAGTTGGGAAAGAAGTAAAGCTATCATTTGCAGACTACATCATAATATATATAGAAGACCTGAAGGGTTCACTAAAAAACTAAATGAAACAATCTATCAGTTGAGAAAGTTAGGTTACAAAATCAATATATAAAGATCAGTTGCCTTCCAACAATTACTGAAAAAAAAAAAAGAAAGAAAAAAAAAATCAGTTGCCTTCCAATATGCAAACAATGAGGTAGAAAATGAAGAAATCAAGAAAACAATTTCATTTACAATTCTATCAAGCCAAATTAAATACCCAGTAATAAACAAAGGAGGTGAAGGACCTATACAACAAAAACTAAAACTCACATACTAAAATAGAAGACACAAAGTAAAGGGAAGATACTGTATGCTCATGGACTTGAAGAATTAACATTGTTAAAACAGTCCTCAAACTCAAAGCAATACATAGATTCCATGCAACCTTTACATCAAAGTTTCAAAGGCATTCTTCAGAGATCTAGAACAAACATTC